AAAAAAAAAATCTTAAATATTTTGCTGGCCAAATCATTTAGAAACACATCAACAAGCAATTTTTGATATACTTTCCTAACAGAACATTGTAAAAATAAAAATGTTTCAGAGCAAATGGAAAATGTTGGTTTCTACAGCTTAGATGTTGGTTTCTTGCACAAATAAAAATACTTAAAAATAGTTTATCACTTCACCTCTCTGCAGTGTGGTTTTCTGAGTGCTTAGTATCTCCTGCATCCACTCAATATGAAGAAAAATTACAGGGTTTTTTGTTTCTTATATTTGATTACGACAGACATGATTTTTAAAATGGGACCAAACTTGAATCAACCCCTTCTTTTCCATACCACTGCTTGATTTATCATGTCAAAAATAAACAAGCCAAACAGAAAGTTTGCCTAAATGAGAAATGTTAATATTTTCTAAAATATATTTGCTCATTTAATTGCTCAAATACCTTCCTGTTCTTTTAAGGTAAACTGTCTTGCCAGATCCATCAATATGTGTCAGTCACTTAGACGGGTCAACTAATACAGGCTATGCTTTTTTAGGCACCATCTGACTAAGCATATTCTGCATTTTGCTAACAAAGTTGTAGTCCATAATAATATTTTCATCAACCCCCAAGAACAATAACACATTTGACGGTGGAGCTGATAAGCCTCTTATCACACCCTGTGAAACCTAGCTCTAATATCGGACGGAGCCTCCATTACTTGGCAGCCCATTCTAAAAAAAAAAAAAGGCCAACAATGTGGAGAGAATGAAGTGGCGTGTGCAGTGCCTCCGTATCTACATAAAAGAGATTAGACGCGACAGCGTTCCATTTTACAGCTCAATCATATTGTGTTAGCATGCGCTTATCCGAGCGCGGACGAAATTGAAAGAGAAATAAAAAAGAGTCAGGCAGATAGGAAGCAGAAAAGCGAGGCATGAGCAATTTCCAAGGATATAAAAGGATGCTAATGGCGGGGCCCTGTCATTCTTAAAAAGGGCTATTAGGGCACCATCATCTGTTCTTGTGCCCTCATGCTCCTCCAACTAAAGTCAAGCATTTTCTAAAGCCCTCGTGATCTTTTTCCTTTCACAGATAAAGTGTGGTCATGTTTCATAACAACACTTTCCCATTTATATGATGTATTAATATAAGTCAACTAATTCTATTTACTGATAAAAAAAATCCACTCCATATGTATTTTTTTCAATATTTCCTTTTGTTGAATTCTTCACTGTTTTATGTAGCAAAAGCAAAGGGACAAAAGTACACTCAGAGCCGTGCAGAAAGGCTACTTATCTCAGCTGCTAAGTGTCTATGTGTGTGATTATACGAACTGAGAACAGCAAAGGGATAACAAAGACCTGGATTTCAGTACACTTTTAAAAAATATTGCAGTTTAATTTTTAACATAAGCTTTATAAAAACAAACAATTTGAAGTTAAGGCTGACAGGTGAGATTTCAATTTTGGTTTGGCTTGCATTTCAGAAGTGACCTTAAGGACAGATTTAGCTTATGTGTTAAGAACACAGTTTTACGTTGATCAAGACAGAAATGTGACGTTGGCCTTGATATTCTCTTGTTCAGTCCGCCCCAGTCCATATTCTACAAAGCTCACTCTAGTCCTGAGATGCCCAGCATTCCTGAAGGCGGAACAAGCACGTTGGCTAGTATCGGGACATCCTCTCCTACTCACACACCTTGAATGGAGAGACCGTATGCGGGCACAGTGGATTGAGCTAATGTTTGTAACACCAGCATCCCCTATCAGAGTTTGGCTTCGAATTCCCCCCAGCTAAGGCAACCACGAAGGCAGTGGATGCTGCCTCAGGGACTGGGGCTCCTGCCACCCATTTAGGAAACCTGGAGGAGGTTCCTGGTTCCGAGCATCAGCCTAGCCCAGCCTTGGCTGTTGTTACTGTTTGGGGAATGAACCAGCAAATCAAAGCTCCCTCTTTCTGCCTCTCCCTGTCTGTCACTCTATAAATAAACCTACACACACACACACACACACACACACACACACACACACACACACACACATACACACACACACCCTCCCCATGGTATTCATACTGTTAAAAAAAAAAGTTTTTCCAGTCCATTCTTGTTTTCCGTGTAATCACTGGGTATCAGGAACATCAGAGCCACGACTCATCACTTCGCAGAGACCCCCTAAGACATTTGCCAGAGGAACAACGTCAGTCCCACATAGTCTTGCAGCAACTGTCTCAACAACTGGAAATGACGTTACTCCTAGTTATCTCAGACACCGGCTTTACAGGAGCCACTGGAGCCCTGTGCTGCGACAAGTGCCTTTGTAAACTGACATTTCTGCTTAGATGCACAGTCAGAACTACACATTTATCACTGACGGCTCCTTCCCAGAAGGACCAAAAGGAGCTGTTGAATGTCCTGGTCTTTATTCTGCAATGTTTGCATGATATCAAAATAATGGCTTAACAAATCCCTTAACTGGGGGAGAACTTAGCAGGGTTCTCTGAAGAAACAGAGGGTTTGCAATCATACTGCTGCAGCCCATGTCATGCTGTTGTTACTAGAAAAGCAAGATGTGTTCTTCCAAATGCAGTCTTCTCAGGGGCTAAAATATCCTAATTCTACTGAGTGAGTAAGACTGAATGTAGGTTTTGATGGCACTGGGAGCATTTGGGAAGCTGAAGTATTTTGCCCCACCCCCCTTACCTCACATCTCCCTATCTCTTAATAGACAGGTTGGAATAGTGGTTCTCCACGGGACAGGGCAGGGGTCAGCTGGTGAAACTTTTCCCCACCAAGTGTATGTGGAAATATTAAAGAAAAAAAGTTTCCATTTTCCCCAACTGAGAGTCACTACCAGTTCTAGTGGCTAGAGGCCAAAGGTACTGCAAAACATCTTACAATGAACAGGACAGTGTTTCACAATAAAGTTAGTTCAATCACCAATACCAACAAAACCAAAGCTGAAAAAAAACCCTGAGTTATACTAATGATAATTCTGTGTGTATGTGTGTCCCTATAAGAAGCAGGAATAAAGAGAGTCTTCAAAATATTTATGGGAAAGGCATATCACAAAAAAAAAAATAATGGTCTTGGAGCCTATGGTGGTATCTTGGACACAGAACTTCTAGAAGGCAACTATACATGGAAGAGTGGGGTGGAAGGCCATTTTTTGGTGGCTATCAGCAAGGTCTCCAGAAACAAAGACAGCTCACAGCACCTAATATTGAAGGTGTTTATGTTGGAGAGGGAACTAAATTCGGCTCGGGGAAGAGATAGTTCTGTGTGTACAAGGCAATGAACACAGTGACTCCTGGTGGCAAACCCAGCAAAACCAGAGTCATCTGGGGAGAGAGAATCATGGAAACAATGGTGTGTTTTGTGCCGAACTCCAGAGCAACCTGCCTGCAGTGCCCACTGGACACAGAAGCCGTGTGGTGCTGCTCCTCCTGTGGATTTAAACTAATGAAAAGCAGACATGTAAAAACGGAGTTGTTATTTGACAAAATGGAAAAAAAAAATCTATAAATGGATCAAGATGCTTCCACATCAAAATAACTTACCTTTTAACTCCATTTTTCCACAAACATTTTAGGCTATCACATATTAGTATAAATGCTATCTATGATTATCTAAAATTGTCCATGGATATTTCAGCAAATGTTTGTTCCACTTCTTTCAATCCATTAACACTTTGTTTCCACCTACTTCTCATTAGCATTGAAGCCAATGCTGGATGCTTCCACTGCCACCATTCCTGACATCTTAGCATCTTTTATAAATCCTCTTTTTCTTTTTGTGAATGTCATAAAGATGGGATTACAATCCAGACACAATAGCAATGATGGACACCATCAAATCCTCATCCTCCTTTTAGATGGACTAACCTTTGTGGCAGCATCGTCTACAGAACACACTCAAGCTCACCTATTTAACTAGTTTTGACTTAATTTGGGGTGCTTTATTAGCAAACAGTGTAAGACAAAGTAGCTGGTATAATACAGAGTGATGTTTAAATTAGTTTACAATTTGCTTGGTCTCATCGAGAACTGCACCGAACAAAGCCATTCAGAAATGTCAGCTGTGTTCCTAACCACTGTAACAAATTGTCGCCTCAACGCTGCACACCTAATGACTTCAAATTAGCTTCACTGCGATATCGCCTGACAGTTCGTTACGACTGTTAGCAACATAGCTGGCGTATCATGACCAATAAATTGGTTTCAGTGTGGGCTGGGAAAGGGACTTCCATCAATTTGATTAAAGAAATTACTGTAGCATTCAAAGCATAAAGACAAACTAGTTTAAGGAGGCAGAAATAAGTTAACTGTACCAGAAAAACATCTCTCATCATTCAAAACTTGCTTTGAAACTGTTTGAAGAGCAAAGTCCAAAAACTAAAAATGAGTTCAAATAAAATACTCAAAATCTGTAATCAGGCGTATGGCATGGACCAAGAAAGAAAATTAACATCCTACAATATAATATAACATCTTTAAAATACTTTAAAATACTCACTTTAAATGAACATGAGAAAATTGATCCTATTAATTTAATATTTATTTTCATAACTCATATATGAAAGCATAGTAAATATCTAACTGTAAACGAATGTAAAGCTTATGATTGCAAATAACAATTCAATGCAAATAGGCACCATGAACCACAAAATGAGTTATTCTTCAAAGAAACAGAGACATTAGACTACCACTACTGAAAGCAATTGTAAGGTGAAATGCACAAATATTTCCTTAGGAAAAGAGTCAGAATTCTAAAAAGGACAGAGCTATTTTTAAAAAGTCTTCCCCCTGCCTTTTATATTGATAGTAGTAACTTCACATATGAAAAAAATAATTCATACGAGCTTCAGGGGTAGCAAAAAAAATAGAGCTAAATGATTGTATTAAGCTCTGAATCAAGCATAATCACAAATATGAAGGTTTTCAAAACAACAAGATAATTTTGAATTGATTAAAATCTTTGCTTTTTTGTTTTCAGAAAATGTACCTGGAATATGCTTCGCCCATCCAATGATAACCACCAACTCACGGTCGGCCAGGTCACACAGTGTAGTGAGGGCTTTGATGTCACTGTCGGGGACGGTGGGGTCAGGCATGGCATAGATCTTCTCCGGTTCAGCCACCAACAAATGTGAGACAATCTTGTTATCTGCGGGATCAGACCAGAGCAACACAAGTTCACTAGCATCAGCATCATCCCTCCTTTATAATCCCAACACGCTGTGTATTTTAAAAACAATACTAATAACAATTCCAATAGCCTATATTACATGTGAGGTATTTGGGCAGTGTCCAAACACACACACACACACACACACACACACACACACACACACACACACACACACACACAAGATGTGAACCCCTGAGATTGTGGCAGAGTACACTCTTCTGTTCTTTGTTCTCCCTGCTGATTATGGAAGGAAGGACGCGTCCTGCAGTTAGAATTTTTATATCAAACAGCTTGATGCTTTCTCTGTTTTCCTCTTTGATTCTTCAAGTAGGGTCTGGAGAATCCGATTAAGTACTAGTATAGAAGAGCTTTAACATAAAAACCAAGGGTAGCCCATTGGAATATTAAAATGTAATGCGAGAGGTAAAGGACCAATGTCCACAGTCATGAAGCGCCTGAAAGTCATCAATTGTGTTAATTCTTTAAAGGAAGAGCAAAGGTCAAGCTCTCGCCTGGGTGAGCAACTGACTGTATAACTCCATCTCCGTGGGAGGTACCCAGTGAGTCTTTCTCTGCTTTCCCATTGCCCAAGACATCCTCAGCCAATCTTCTAAACATAGCCACTAACAGCGGCTATCCACAAAAAATACTCCTACTTAAAGGTTACATTGTTTTGTCTTGCGAGTGTCTAATTCTTTCATGCCTCTCGTTTCATCTGTTGCCCCAGTTCACTCTCCGGTTCAGACCTATGTGTCTGAAATTTCTGATATATGTTTGAGAAATCCTTCATAAAATAAACACTCGAGACAAATGGGAAGCATCACATCAAATGTGCTCTATTGCTCAGAGGCATGTGAGAGTTTATGGAAGGGGGGTGCAAAGCCTTGCTAGCAGAATGGCTTTTCTCACAGGCCCTATTTTCCATTTCTACATGTAGCTTTGGAATTGATGCTTTCTTCAACCTGCGGAGATGCAGATAGGTAAGAATGAACTCAAACTTTGCAATACGCTATATGCTGTCGCTCAACAAAACCAGGAGATGACATGGGAGTTTTGTGAACCTAGACAAAATTTCCACTGTTTACCAGATCATTTGCCTTTTAAGTTTAATTTTATTTTTAACTCAAAGTTAAGGGTATTCACAAAACTTTGTTTTAAATGTGGTCCTCTTTTAGCCTCCTTTCATGAAATAGTAAGAGTTAGCAGCATTTTTTCAGATATGATGCCTCAAATTGTTTAACAAGACTAACCTATGAACTGCTTCGCAAATAATCAACAATCGTCATCGGTAGTGCCAATCAGTTACTATCAAAGTTAATATGCAGATTTTGAAGTAAATATTCTCCAATACCATATTTTTACAAACAACGTAAAAACAGATTCTTTTTTTAATTTGCAGGATATGCAAAGATTGGCATCTATTTCATGTAGATCCCAGAAATACAATGCCTAATTTTGTTATTTACACTTAGAAAAGTTGACAGCGCAACAAAACCTGTTAACAACCACTAGATTCCCAGGCACAAAAAAACAAAATCTTGTGATTCTAGGTCTTTTTTTTTTCCTAAGGAGGAAAATATAACATGTTTTATGCAAGTCAAGGGCTACTTAACTTGCGAGGTCAGAGGAATCTGGTTGAAGCTTAGAAATTCCCATCACTCAGGAAATGGAACAGCCTGCGGCACAGTTTCTAAGTAAATCTTATTTAATGTTTCCCTAATTAGAATCAATAGAACCCAATTTTCATTCCTGGGCTTTGCTGTACACAAACAATCAGGCAGGGTACAGACATCTCCGCCGTCACCTTGCCCGCACAGCTCCCGCACCATCTCCTGACACTTATCTGACAGGATCTGAAAATTAAGTTTTATAAATGTTTGTTACAAAAACACGCTAATTGGATGGACTAAGGAAATTAACACAAAGGCCCTCAGATAATGAGTAATGATTTATTAGGAGTCCTCTTTATCTCAGACAAATGGAGCTCACTAAAATTGCTGTAATCTTCTTAAAGATACTTGACAAGCCACTTCCCAATTTCTCAGGTTTACACAGGAAACCATAGATGGCCTTCTCCCATGTTGACTTAGAAAGGGGCTTGCGCTCACTCATCTTTCAGTAGAGGAAATTCTCAATGGTTTTTCAGTCAGTGCTTACATAAAATAAATGAGAAATGGGACGTCTGCATATTATTAAATCCAGGAACACTAAACCTCTAATGAAATTAAGCATTAGTGTTTATTGCATTTTATTGTATTATCAGAAAGGTTTTTTTATTATAATGTGCAAAATCTGCTTAATGCAGTCCTAGATTGTATTTGCAGAATGCCAAACCGCTTATGCAGGCTGAAGCGAAGATGCCAGATTGGACAATTGAAGGTATAATCAACATAATGTTTTTTGGAAAGGCAAAAGGAAACTATGCCATATGTTCACTTAAGCTTTAATTTTATGTAAAACCGGTTGTTTTCCCTTTGACATAGTTAAAATGTCCTTCCATTTACAGTTCAGAATCTGTTTTATTTATTTAACAGATTCCCATATGTTCACGTGTAGGATGAACAGCAGTGACCCCTCCTGGAGACTGCAGTCCAGGAGTTAGAAGTGGACAGACACTTCCCTTGCCATCAGAACCAAACTACTCCTAACCATTCTAGAACTGCTGTAGAGGCAGCCTCCTCTGATGAGGGCTGGTTGTGTCTTCTTTGACAAAAGCAGCAAAATGGGAGAAGTCTTCCCACCAAGGCACTCTACCTAGCATGAACTCTTTGCATAAACATGCTAAAGCTCGAGCTCTGTGGCACGACAGCTATTAACAGATTTTTCTGAAAATGGGACACAGTGATTGCCTCAATCTATATTCCACCTCTTCTGAGTTAATGACAAAGAGAATGGGGCTTGCATTTTAGCAATGTACCAGTCATCCTTTCAAACTGCAACCTGGCCTCATAAAACCGCGAGCTCTTTAAAAACAATTCGTAATGCCTATGAGAGCATCGGAGTCAGAATCACCAACCTATGGTTGTTATTAGGAGTGCCCATTCTTGTTTTACCATATTATGAGCTAGAGTGTTAACCTTCTATAGCTCCAAATTAATGAGGCTCCTAATGTATTTTCATTGGGAGGTTGAGCAGTCAAACTCATTTAGTTAGTGAAAACTACAAAAATCACCTTCTTGTGAAATCTGAAACAGCTTCAGAGAACTAACGATCGCAGTAGGATCCACTTTATGTACTTCTGCAAATAAAGGTAACCAGTAAATGTGAAATTCACACTATATAAGCTATGCATTAATATTCTCATGCTCCACAAAGTGACTAGATGAAAAAAAAAAAAAGGCAGGAGAGAGAAAATCATAAACATCTTTCAAAGAAAATAAGAGAGAAAATGAGCAGAGTTACCGACGCTCCTCACAGAAAATCCTTGGGACTGGGCACCATGCTCCTTCAAAGAGAAATATGCTTGGAATCAGAAGGGATGGGCGGGCCAATGCTGATAACACAGCGGGGCAACGGGGATGACATTCTGCGAGATCCGATGCACTGGCTGTACTTACATGGCTTTTTGGCTGGCTGGACCAGCTGAGGGTTCAGGTAGGGGCTGTTCTCTGCATCTATTCTGCGCTTGTACTTCTGCCGACCTCCGCGTACTCTGTCCAGACGCACCCCTGTGGGCAAGACAGGCACTGACTTAGTGTTTAGGCAGTTGTCCTTGAGATCAATCACACATATAAACGGTATTCCCCCAGCGGAGCTTTGAAGACCAACAGGAGAATGTAAAATGAGAGGAATGTGAAGCAGTGGCTGCTAAGTCGAAATTGCCAGTGATTGGAAATCAGACCTACCAGCACAAAACCGACCTGAAAAATGCTTGATGCAAAGCCATCAGAATCGCCATACGGCAGATCGCCAAGTAAATTAATACAAAGCCATTCTTTGGAGCCGATGCCATTTTTTTTAAATTAAAAACATTGGCTAGTTCAGAAGTTCAGACAAGAGAACAAGCCCTTCACCTCCCATCCCACCCACCATGAGATGCAACATAGACCTGTGGAACTGAGCTAGACACAGAGAACCTGCGTATGGCAAGGCAGCAGGACGCGTGGGTTTATTAACCCACACCAGGTCCTGTCCTGTAAGAGGCAAGCATTGTTTCACATGAAAAGGGCATATGTCTCAGAAATGGAAAGTTATTTACATTTTGGCACAGATTTGTATTTTCTGTCATGTGTAGGAAAACTGAGAATTGGGCTGGGTTAAACACAGGATAGCAAAAAGAGCTATCTGAAGGAAGAAGTCAGAAAATTAGGATGTCGGAAGAGAAATATGCTAGTAAGGGAGAGTGGAAGTGATACTGAGGAGAAGGCAAACACTGAATGGCAGGCGTACAACTTTTCCCCAAACAGCAATTAGTTGGGTGAGTTCTGAAAAGTTTTGTGGACAATGTATTTAAAAGCATAAGAAAGGGGAGGCCTCTGAGATACCAGCCAAGATGCACCTGTGCTTGCTGCTGCTTCATTTCCTGCTTAGGTAGACCGTGGGAGGCAGAGGCAACTCAAGTGATTGACTTCCTGCCACCCATGTGGGGGTACCTAGATTAAGTTCCACCCCCTGACTTCCACCCAGCACCACAGAGCCATTGTATGCATCCATGGGAGTAATTTGTGGATGGGAGCTCATCATCCCTCCTGAACTCTCTCAAATTAAAAAAAAAAAAAAATTAAGGACAAATTCAAAGGGAAAGAGAGAAACTGAAAATAAACAAAAGGTGGGATGGACATTATGGCGTAGCAAACAAAACTACCACCTGTGACAGCAGCACTCCATATGGAATGCAGTTCATGCCCTGCCTGGTCACTTCCCTTCTAGCTCTGCTAATGGACTGGGAGAAGCAGAGGAAGAAAAGTCAAGTTCTTGGCCTCTACCTCCCCCATGGGAGACCCGAATGGAGTTCCTGGCTTCAGAGTGCCCCAGGTAGCTTTTCCAACCATCAGGGAGGTAAACGGGTGTAATAAGGCAAAGTTTCATTTCTATGGGGAAGAGCTTGTTAAGAAATTTTAACGTACATATATTATTCAAATGACAAACATTACAGTAATCCGTGGGACAGAGGAAAACACAATTTTTTCATAGCACTTTAAGATATGTTAAGAGTTGATTATCTTTTAGTGAAATACATACACAAATTGTTCTAGCTAAAGCCTGGACTTTCATATTTAAGCATACTATTATTTAAATAAAATTAAGAGATAACTTCTATCACTTAAATAGAAAAACATGTATAAAAAGAAATGTTAGGTATAGTTTTAACTATTCACAGAAAATTTTCATGTTCATGGGTCAAAAGGACAAAAAGAAACCATAGGAATTGGTATTGTGGTATAGTGGGCTAAGCCCCTGCCTACAAGGCTGGGATCCTATATGGGTACCAATTTGAGTCCCACATGCTCCATTTCCAATCCAGCTCCTTGTTACTGTACCTGGGAAAGCAGTAGAGCATGGATCAAGTAAGTTCTTGGGCCCCTGCCACCCATGTGATATATGCAAATGGAGCCCCTGGCTCCTGGCTTCTGCTTGGCCCCGTCCTGTCTACAGTGGCCATTTGGAGTGTGAGCTGTTAGAAAGACAATCTGTGTGTCTCTGGCTCTCCCTGACTCTCTGCCACTCTGCCTTTCTAATAAAACAACATCTATCTTAAAACATTTTAAAAAGGAACTACAATTTTCATTGCTGCTTTTAAGACATTCTGTGCCAATAAAGAAGTTCTACTCCTTTGTCTAATCCCTAATATGTTATTATTGTTGTGACTGCATTGTCTGAAGTTTAACACTTTCTATTTCCTTCCACTGGTACGTTTTTTCTCTTTTTCATGGCTTCCTGTTCAAAATTTTCTCCAAGACTTTTCTTTCTACTTTACAGAAGATAATCACATTCTGTTTGGTTATCCAATATACACTTTCATGTCTTTCATTGTTTTTTTAATTCAAAAAAATACTGGAAGAGAAACAGCTTATATACTAGTGTTGTTCTCACATGCTTATCATCCAAACCTTCAGTCTTGTCTTACTCAGAGGTAGGAAAGGAGAGAGGGAGAGACCACAAGAGGCAGTGACAGCCAAAAGCTAAAAAGGGAGCAAACATTTTACTCATTTTTAAAGTTGTTAGGACTAAGAGAACTCACAGAATACATCTCAATGGGGTTAGCAGCTTCCTAAATTTGCTCCTGAAGCTTGTCAGGAAATACAGTTACCATGAGCAATAGAGCCTCTATATTAATAAAATATGTCCTCTCAGCCCTGAGGCAAGCAGGTGAGTTTCTGAAAACACCGTTCGTGCATCGTGAAGGTCCATGAAGGTTCATCAACAGACTTGACTCCAAGTACAACATGGAAATCATTTGGACACACAAGCCCAGCACACCAAAGCCACCTATCAGCTTAGTTAACTGGGCAAAATCTGTAAAGAAAGAGAAACTCTAAAAACTAGCAACTGTACATCATGGGGAAAAAAAAAAATCACACAGTATCAATTGAAAGAATTTTTCGTATGTGCTATGGCTCACCTTTTCTGTTTGTGTTTGCTCTGTAACTATTATCAAATAATTGGTATTTTCCTTTCTACGTGGAAAATGGAAAAAGGTAAAATCATACCACTTTCTCTGTGCTTTTCACAAATCTCATGGAATATTCTGGTATATATCCCTTACCTCCACCCGCTCCTGTGTGGGTGGAGCAGTAAGTACGCAGGAGTTTATACCTCATCTCATCCCTGCTATCTATTCATTCATCTCACCCATGCCTCTTTCCAAGTATCCAAGAACTGTTAATATTAAACCATGATTTTACACTTTGTTCCGTAAAATAGAAGTCAACTGGAGAAATAGTGTTTTCAACATTTGTAATGTTAGCAGACTGGATATTAGATGCCAGCTCATCAGTACATCATCAAAGAGATTCACTTGCAGGTAGTATCCCTCCAAGCATAGACAAGAGTGAATGGCGATGCTAGAGATATCTAGGGTAAATATGTTTGAAAGGACATAATGGCATATGCATGGGTATCATCACTCCCTGTGTGAAACAGACGCACAATGTAATTTCCAATTCTCCAAATCAAGTCAAAATTAGTTACGACTTCCCTTAGCCACTTTCCAAAATCTGGAAAATATGACTTTTTTTGCATCTTCTGGTAGAAATACCACTATTATCATCAGTCTTGGGTGACTTCATACTAGGGGAAATGTGAGAACCAAAAATTGAATATGACACTAGTACAATTAATTCAGTATCATCCTGTTTTTACAAAAGAAAAAACAAACAAGCAAAAGGCAAGCTACAGATGATAAAATATTTCACAAAAAAAGTGATGGTTCTAGAGTTAAATGACAATACTATTGGTCAAATGCTTTCAATGGAGATTCTATCTCCACTTTGCAATTCCCTTAGATACAGACATAAACCACGGTCTCCAGTTAGAATACACGCAGATGATATAATGGCCGAAAAGACAGATATTTATCTTTGAATATCAGTGGTCTTTCTACTTCCTGCTAGATGAATTCTTTGTTTAGTGGAGCGGCAAGTTTGTTATAAAGCAAACAGAAAGTATGTCATTGCACAAATTAAAATGAGGGCCACACCATGCCATAGCATGTTAAGCCACTGCCTGTAATAAGAGCATCCCATATGCACTCTGTTTCATGTCTGAGCTGCTCCACTTCTGATCCAGCCTGGGAAAAGCAGTGAAAGATGCCTTAGAGTTCGGGTCCCTGCCACCCGTGTGGGAGGCCTGGATAAAGCTGTTGGCTTTGGCACGGCTCAGCTCCAACTGCTGCGGCATGTGAAGTGTGAGCCAGTGGTTAAATGATCGCTCTGTGTTCGCCCTCTCTCTGTGTCTGTAACTTTGATTTTCAAAAAATTAAACAAATCTTTTTTAAAAAGTTAAGATTAAAATAAGGAATGAAGGAGAAAGTGAATATTGAAGGTTGAGAAGTTCTTACAACTATATTTGAAATATATCAAATCTATTCTCCATGTAAGATAAATAAAATCTAAAAAGAAAACTGATAAGGGATCAGTAAGAAATGGAAGGGGCAATAAAATAATCCAATAAGGACATTTTATGTAGTTGCTTATAATTACGATCAATATATCTAACCATCAAACACAAATTCCTATGCATGTGATATATTAGCACATGGATATTATTTAGTAATAATAATTTTGTGAAGAACAACATTTCCTTTGTTAGTGTTCCCAACCATAATTACATAGAAGCTTACTTTCCAATACATGTTAATACTATATCATAAAAAATAAAATAGTTTAATATATTTTCCTAGTTCTTGACCAACTAGCCATATCAATTCTCATAGGTTCCTTAACCTATTAGTCTCTTTGTGTACAGAGCATACACCTTGATGTTTTTTACAATTATCTAATAATACTACATCATGGATATTATATAAACGTACATTTAAAATATTTTATAAGCCTTAAAATACCAAGTGAAAATAAAGATATTGCCTCCATGTCATTATCTCTTTGAAATATCACCTTATTTAGGTCTGAAATACGTTTTTCCATGACAATTCAAAGAATGCTAGTCAAATATTGGGATTATTTGATTAAAAATTCACATCAATAGTAGGTACCCTGTTTTATTTATT